CGGAAATGTTATTACCCACTAGCAAAAGGTTACACAAAGGCAAAATGGTAAAATATAACAAGTTCAAAGACTGACCTGCTTAGAGATGAAAATCACCAAAAAAGGAACAAAAAGTCAAACAAAACAGCCAAGGGAGAAAGAACCCTGATTCCTCTGTGCAGCTCCTGCCCTACTCCTGTGGTATGCAGAGCAACAGTTTAGCACCCACACTTCCTGTCCATTTCATAGTGTGTATTTTAAGCCCATATACGGCATATAAACAACTAACCAACAGAGTTACAGAGACATGACCACAACAAGGAAATGCACTTACGCCCTTCTCTGCTAACACACACATATATATTTGGTTTAATACATTAACATTATTATTATTATTATTATTTGTGACTTAAACTAAAACAAATATTTTTTTTTATCATGATGCAAACCATAAAGGGCCAAAGTGCTCAAACAAAAAGTCCTTTTATGTTGTCAATCATCACACCATGTACACCTTTATGAGTTTACATGAGAAATATGTCTTATCTGATCATAACAAAACAAAAGCTGTTTTCTAGACTCCGGTGGTGTTGCAGACAGGGGGTGTACAGTGTGTTCACAAGAGTCACACGTCCTGCAGACGTGACATTGACTCAGTGAATTTTGACCATGTGACATGCAGAGGTGCTTATCTCTCTACAGAGATGGAAGTCACAAAACAGTTTCGCCACTTTAGCTTTTCTTTCTTTATTTTTAAACTTCTGTACCACATTAACCATTTCCCACAGTAAGCTATTGTAATAGGTAATGGCAAAATAAGTCATGTGTACATTACAGCTGAGTGAATATGAACTTTGAAATGTTTCATCTGAAATTACCATGGCCAAATCAGTCTTTAATGGGGCCACAGTGTGTATAAAGTGTAATTAATAATACAAGAAACTAAAATCATGAAACTTCTAACACAAGACTTTAATACTGGGACATTTGGCATCTTGATGAGTTGAACTTTAACTGTAACTACATATTGTTACTCCCAAATAAATAAGAATAATCAAAAATATTTAACTGGAACATGTTTTGATCAAAAAATCTAAAGGTTTAGTGTCCTCAGACAATCTAAAAGTGTATTACTTCTATTTTGTTTTTAGCTTTTCGAGCATATACTATATGATATGCAATGTACCTTGACCTACATTAGATAGATGTCTGTCATATACAGAAGAGACAACAGAGATGTGCAAATAGTTTATCAGCAGACTGGCAGAATATTATTTGATGTATATATTTTGTGGCAGAATAATTATAAATTGTAGATATATTCAGAAGTATAGAGATACAGTGGGGCAAAAAAGTATTTAGTCAGCCACCGATTGTGCAAGTTCCCCCACCTAAAATGATGACAGAGGTCAGTAATTTGCACCAGAGGTACA